CTCTATGCGTGTGCTCTCTGTCCTCTTTTTCTTCTCTCCCATGAGGTGTCATATATAATAAAAATATCTAGGGGTAATGATGAGGTTGTTGGGTGCAAAATACCCCTCATACCCCTAGAATCACATGTTGTGCATGAACCTTATCCTCCAAGTGGCAGTGGTCCTTTGGTAGCTCTGGCAGGCGGTTACAGCAGTCCTTCACGTGCAGAGACAGCTGTCCAGTGCCAGCTGTCCTTATGCAGAAATATCTTTTTGTCTTTTTCTGCGCCAGAAATGCCAAGGCATTTCAATCTGCTTTAGCAACGTGTGATGCCGCGGCATTACTTCCCAAAGAATCATTTTTCTTGCTATTCCCTGCACACCATAGACAAACTGCACCTTTCCCTCAAACAGCACCATTAAGAAATAAAATAGCACAACCACCACAAATGCAACTATATGCAACTACATGATCCTAAAATGACTAAAATGAGCTTTTAAACAAACAATAACTTAAGTGAAAAAGGCTTTAAAAGTAGCCTTTTTAGGAATTTAACACCTAAACTCTGATATGTGGTTGAAGTTAGAAATTAATATCCATTTTGTTTTGGTTGGCTTACTGAATTGCATAACATCAAATTTAGATGGCCTATCTGATGATTTCATTTTGTTCTTTCGGCCAGTATACAACACAGCGATAGGTTTTGCTAGTTTTAAACTTAACCCTATTCTTGGACGAGGACTAATCCTTCAAACCCATTCAAAGTCATCTTTTGATACTAGTGATTGTTTGGTATATGATGTCGGTTACAACTCGTGTGTCCAAGAGCCATATCGCTAGTGCTTTTGTATCCTAAGATAATCTTATAGTTGATTTCACGTTCATGTTCAATAAAAGGAAAATAGACAATTGGTGTAGTAATGTGCCACTTTGTAATCTAAATGTTCTATTAGGTGGCTTTTCAAGTACGTTGTAGTTGGTATTGAGAATTTTGTTGGCCATGGATTTTGTCAAGGGAAGTAATAGATGAGTTAACCTGATATGACGTATGAATTTTGTTTTATAGGGCTGTATTGATAATTTGATATGCTTATAGACCATCTTTGACAATTTGGAGTACAAGTTTCGTTTTAGAATGTCAGATTGTAGAAAAATGTACATAAAAATCATTTTCAAATTGAGTAAAACGCATGGATTAAGTTGGACATATTATAGCATAAGAAAATGTGAAGTGTATTTGAGATGTGGTGTTTTTCTTGATTAAATGCGTTATTGTAACATTCTGAAGTTCTAAATTTGTGCCAAATTGAATGCTCTAATAAGGAACTTTTACTCTTTAATCTTTATCAGTTCAGTGACTGTCTAATATCATGTCAAATATTTTGACTTGTCTTTTCAAGAAGGCCGTTTTCTGTATCACCATTTTCATCCTACTGAAATCCTTCCTTCACACTCTGTTCACCATATCTTCTAACAAATAAATAGTAGTTGTGATACTTGTGATGTCGGTTTTCAGGTTTCATAGACCATTAAAGGTCAAAGTGCATGTTCAGCGAATCAGCATCATTTAGTGTGGCACAATAGCCAAATTGTGTAGAGAGAACCCTCCTTTCTTCAACAAGTTACACCCTTTAATCACCAGAATTTATCTTATGTTTTTTCTTAGTAGTTAGATGTTCAATCACTTCTGTGTATTCAGGAAATTGTCATCAATTTAAGATTAAGAAATGGAACTGGACACTGTAAAAGATGCATTTGACAGTGTTGTTAAGAGGCAGAAATTATCCTTCTCTAAATCCCAAGAAATAGTTGATCAAGTTGGCCATGAAATTGAGCAGGCATTGGCAAAAATCAAGGCTATTAATGATCCCATGTCTTCTGATGATCAGAAATCCGCTCTTTCTGAGCTAAAAAACTAAAGCTCAATGCTGTGGCTCCACTCAACCAGTTAGGACTGCAGAAGGAGCGCAATATAAACCACAGCAAGTACCCTAAACTTCTTGAAAAATCATTCAACCCCGACATATCCAAGGCATATGGATATGTTGACTTTGACTTCCACATAGCGAATCAGATAGTTGCGAATCTCTTTAATCAGCAAGGCTTGTTTGACCTTGGAGATTCCCTCGTAGATGAAGCTGGAGAACCAGAGGCGATTTCGATTAGATCTCATTTCTTAGATATGTATCAAGTACTTGAATACCTGAAGGTTAAGGACCTTGAGCCTGCTCTGAACTGGATCGCTGTCAATCGTGAGAAGCTCAACCAAAATGGTTCATGTTCATCCCTTGAGCTAAAACTTCACAGGCTTCAATTTGTGGAGATTGTAAAGAAAGGAACTAAAGCTGACGCACTTAGTTATGCTAGGACTCGCCCCATTTACTTCTCTGCACATGATAAGTTTCAGAAGCTTGTGGTTTGCATCATATGGGTAGGAAAGCTTGACAGCTGCCCTCATGCGGAGTTAATGGCTCCAACACACTGGGAAGAATTTACTAAGGAGATCACGAAACAGTTCTGCCGTCTCGCATGACAGTCCTACCGGAGCCCGTTGAGTGTGTTAGTGGCTGCCGGTATTGAAGGGTTGCCTACACTACTGAAGCTGGTTAATGTAATAGCTGCAAAGAGGCAGGAGTGGCTAGAAATGAAACAGTTACCAGTGCCAGTGGAGTTAGGAAAGGAACTCCAGTTTCACTCGATATTCGTATGTCCTGTGAGTAGAGATCAAGACAGCGAAGAGAATCCGCCGATGCAAATGCCTTGTTTGCATGTTCTTTGCAAGCAATCCATCATGAAGTTGTCGAAAAGCAGACCTTGGACATTTAGATGTCCTTACTGCCCAACAGAGGTTTCAGCTGAACAGTGCAGGCAGCTTTACTTCTGAACTCTGTAACAATATAATTTAATTTGATAAATAAATAAATATTAAACGAATTATATGTATAAACTCGTTGTACACATAAGCGTATAGAATGTAGTTGAAACTAAAATAAGAATTTGATTGGTATATTGATTTTAATAAAATATGGTTATCAAAAGTATTGTTATTGTAATTGTCATTTAGGTCAAACAGTAAAAGAGGTATAATTATAACATTTTAAATAGTCTTCATATGTTCTTTATGGAATAATTAAGTTTCCATTATATGCATGCCAATAATCCCGAATATTAGGCATTTGATATAAAGAAAAAATAGTGAACTAGGTCTAGCAGTTGTTTGCAATCTTTGAGATCCTTTCCTCAGAAAATTTTAAAGAAAATAGTTTTATCATACACTTTTGATTGGATAGACTATGTAAAGGTCGAGATATTTGTACTGTGACTTGAACTCGATATTTTACAAAGGATTGATATGTAACATTTCTTTATCATATTTCAGTCACAAAAGTGTAATTTTCTATCCCTTCTTCATTCAATTCATTCTTCGTGCATAAATTATCTATTGTGATGGTTAAAATATTTTTTTCGCTACGTCACAAGTATCCAACAGTCCCAACAACTTTACCCTATAAAAGACCACGTTGTCGCTGCCTTTCACACTCATCTTTTGTCACCACAATCTTTGAATCCATTGTCATCACCCCACCGCTACCCTCATATTTGAATCGTGTCTTTATCCACCGTTGAACCCCTTTACTCGTTTTCACACATCGTCGCATCGCATTTGGGTAAACCATGTATCTTGGTTAATTGATTTATCATTTTTCTTGAAAACCCTAATCTCGGTTAATTAATGTTTGCACATAGGCAGTCGATTAATCATCATTTTGGGTTCGTAGAATCGAATGAGATAGATTAGGTATTTTAATGCATTTTGTTTTAAATAAGATTCTGAAACTTAAATTACATTCTGAGGTAATTTAGTATTTTGGGACTTGATATTATTACTGTAAGATATAATGGTTTACTTGAACCCTATAAAGTGATTTTTATAGCTACTATTTATGTTTTATACACAAAGACAAAACTAATATCAAATATTAGAAGGAACAAAAAATTATTAAATATTCAAATTTATAAAAGAGATAAAATCTTTATTTAATTGATATTTAAATTAATAAAAATATAAAACATTATTCTAATAAAAAAATAGAGGTCACATCTCTTTCCACCCAACAAATAACCTCGTTCCTATTTATGCATACTATATTTATCTATATACTGTGTACCAATCCTTATATATTACATAAAGAATTCGACATTATGAATCAAGTACTGTCATCAGATTGGATAAGTGCATTCACAAAAGAAGTATTACAGGTAGGATCTATTGAGAACTAGTCCATTAAAGTTTGTGTGGTTTTCTTTTTAATTTATGGTGTTTATACGTATCTATTCTAAAATTTTAACCATTTAACAATGAACACTCAATTTTTTACAGTCTCTCGAACCTGAAATTTTTAAAAATAAAAATATATTTTAACTTACCAAGATAATTTAATTTGTGTGAATCCATTAAAGTTAAAATATAAGAAAACGACAATGCAATAACTTTATACATATATTATATTAATACTATTTATGTTATACTGCGATCTAAAAGGAGTAGGACAGATCAACATGCTCCTGTCAAGCGTATTTACTCACCTGCTTAGTGCTTAGCTATTTAATTAAATGGACCATAAGATACCAACACTCTTTTTACATATATTCGTTTTTTCATAGAATCATTTCAATGATAAAAAGAATATTTGTTTTTTTTTTTAAAAAAAAATTGAGTAGTTACGTTTGTAAAATATGTATTAATTATCAATCGATTAAAAAAATCCGAACAAATAATATTCCAATACGTGAAGCATAACGTAAATCTAACCATAGTATTCCAATGCATATCTAATATTTGAGAATTTCAATTTGTAATAATAATAGTAATCAAAGTACTGATCTAGTTTTCAATTGAAACTAAGATGGATACATTGTTGAACAATTCACTGAACTTGTAAAGGCAAACTCTTTTATGATAATGCACCTTTGGTGATGTGCATGTTTGTTGCTCAAAAATGTTTTTCAAGTATCAAAATCAAAAAGCTTTAGAAAGGTAAAAATTCAGGCATACTTGGGCTTGACCTTGGTGGAGTAATTCTTAGCATGAAAGTCTGAGAACAAGAACAGAAGAGAAACGATGAAGGCTGCATTGAAGCACCAACTCAAAATCCCAGAGCAGCCAGAGCCTGTGAAATGGTAGAACACAAGCATTGCCATTATGAGGAAGCTAGCCCAAAACTGCACCAGTTGGCAATCGGTGACCATTTTCTTCCACTTGGGGTGAACCCCGAGTGTGCACATCAAGTAGTAAGCGTACATGACGACATGCACGGCGCAGTTGGTGACGAGCACCATCGAGAAAGACGATTGAGCACTGTCGACGCAGACGTACGACATGACCACCACCATGGAGTGGTGGTAGACGTGGAGGAACGAGAGGCGTTTCATGGATTTCCCGAGGATGATCAAAAGGGTGTCCATGAATTCAACGATCTTGGAGAGGTAAAATATGTAGCCCCAGAAAAAGAGAGGTCCGGACGGTGAAGTTCGCTTAGGGAAACAAACCAGGGTCTTGAAGTTAGGCACCTGGGAAAAGATGGACACCAAACAACCAAGGGCCATGATGAAAGAGAGTATCACCAGAAAGATGTTGTGAACGGCTGAGATTGATTTCAGGACTGGACGTGCAAGTGAAGGACGAGATACTTGGGACAAGATGAAGGTGAAGGAGATGTAAGACAAAACCGTGAGCGTTAAAAAGCGTTGGGATGAGCCTGGGGTTTTGCCATTGTTCCATGAGAACTCATGGATTTTGGGATGGTTCACCAGCCATTCCTCCAATACTGGAAATAAGGGTTGTTTCACTACCAAATTTCTAACACATGAGAAAAGGGTTGGGAAAAAGGGAACCTCCATGGTCTCTTAATTCTTTTTTGCGGACCGAGTTCAAGTGATGAGTTAAAATGGAAAATGGCATTGCCTTTTAAAGCACTGAAAAGTTACTCCAATTTGATGGATGATCTCTAAATTGGATAAACTACAGGTTTAATACCTAAACTATTAATTTTGTTTTGTTTTGATATCTAAACTTTATTTTGTTTCAAAATCATATTTAACATTTAGTATAAGTTTCATGTTGATACTCATCATTAAAAATTAAACAATGATATTGACGTGTCATCATAAAGTAATGTCATGTCATCATTGACACATCAACAGCAAGCACATATCTATATTGAGAGTGGGAGGGGCTCTTGTTCCTCTCAAAATTTTTTAGTTTAATAGCATTTTAGGTCCTTATCAGATTAAATTTAAGTAAAATTAGACTTTTCCCCCTCCAATTTTTTAGATTAAATGCATAATAAGTCATTATTTTGAACTCAACTACCTTGCCCCTCCCAATATTTGGTTCGGGCTCCGTCCCTGATCAAACAGTTCTATTATTTTTTAACGAAGGATACCAATGAAACCTAAATTAAACATTAGGTATGAATTTGAAAAAAGTAAAGTTTGGATACAAAAATGAAACAAAAGTAATAGCTTATATACTAAACGTGTAATTTACCGTTTTTGGGTTTCAACGATGAACAATATCATAGCTGGCTGAAACATTGCATTCACCAATTACTGCTTGCTTTTATGGGGGGCGGGGGGGGGGGGGGGGTTTGGTCCTTTAAATTATGGGACATCGGCCCTTCCTAATGAATTCATTCATCACCACCCTACTACCATCTACTATCTGTTTTTCTTAATTTTGTCCTTTATATGTTTTTTTTGCTTTTTCATAGGGAAGATCCGACATTAATTGTTTAAGATTAGTGTAATTAAATCTTCAACTAAATCTTTTTTCCATTCCAACAAAAATCCAACCCACATATATTTTCCTTTATTATTCATTATTTCAACAATATGTCTCCAAAGTTGAAACTTATTCATTTGATAGGTTTGTCAAATTATTCATTTTTATTTTTTTATATCTCTTTAGATTATGAGTTCTAGACCCGCTATGAACACTCATATTCCTTTTTCCTAGAGTTTCTTTTATTGTCTCTCTCGGTAGAATTAGATTTAGATTTAGAATTTATCTAATATTTTTCTAAAAATAAACTACTTATTGAAATTAAAACATTTCTTAATTCAATTCACATAGTCTCATTTTATATGGCTTTAATATATATTTTTATATTAATAATATTAATATACTTTTACGAATCTAACTATGCATTACGTATTTTCGTTAAATAAATTTATTTTTTTTATTTTTGATGTTTTTATTTTAATAATTTCTAAGTTCAAATGTACGTTTAACCATTTAACTAATACTCGTTTCCCACATTAACCTTTAAAATTTATTTTTTATATTTCAATTGTACCACGTCAAATGAAGATATATGTCTAGTAAAACACGTTATCTGAAAGGGACTATTTACAGTATACGCCTTCGCCATACGTAACACAAAGATTGCTATTTTAATAAATAATTTTGGTATCTAATTAAAATAAAAAAAATAGATATTTGAATAAATAATTTACATATTTAAGGTTTAATTTTCATCATTTTATGGGGGTTTCTCCTAAATTTTCTTAACATGAGTTATATGTTATATTTATGATATGTTTTTGTTTGTTGCTGTCGTGATAAATCGGAAGATATAATGATAATGAATAAAAAAGCTCTAGCAACACAGAGTTAATATGAAAAGCTTTCCCTTTTGTGGTTGTTTCAAGTATGAAATTTTTATATGTGAGTAAACAGAGATAAATTTCAAGATAAATATAATTATAAATTAAATAATTAATAAAAAGAAAATTTAGATTTCAATGTCTACCTTGATTAAATTTGGCCACTTATGACATAGAACAATATGAGACAACATTCATTCAATGCTGTTACAAAAAGGATCAATATCTAGGGAATAAAAGTTTATGAATTAATGTGAGAAGAGAAATTAAGAATAAATGTGGAAGAAGCGTATAAATTCAAAAATCAAGCATATATTTAATTAAGAAATTTATCTCATAAAATCTTAATAATTTCAATTCAATTCTCTTTTAAAATATTTATAAAAACAAGTTAATTACAAATATTAACGTTGTCGATATACTAAATCATATCCATGTAGACTACTGTGAATCAAACAAAATGTTTTCATATTTGTGAAATATGATGCAGTATTCATTGCAAGAAGCTATCAAAACAGTTGGAGATAAGCAATAGAAAGAAACAATAAATAAAGAGGAGAAGATGGAATTACAAAGGACAACACATGGAGTTGCAGAGAAAAGATGGTTGGGACGTATAGGGATTGATTGAGAGGAGCGGGTGGGGACCATCTTCTTCCTTAAAATTTTTAAATTCTTTTATATTTTTTATTTTTTATTTTTATTTTTTTATTGATAATCTATTTTTACTTCCGTTAAAATTTTATAAACTCATCCCACTCTAGAATTTTATGACTTCACTCCCCTAATATGAAATCTTGCGCCTGTTCTTAGGGACGTGTACTTGAATTTATTCAAACATAATAATAAATAATAATAATACTAGTAGTAGTAGTAGAGGAACACTTATTACCCACAGCCCCAACTGCATACTTTAAGCAGCTCTTCGACTTTTATTATGAGTACGACATCCCATTTCTTTCACCTTCGTTTTCCTCTTTTATTGCTTTCTTCCATCACCCATTAACTAATTTCAAATTACTGTGTACCAGATTAAGTAATAATACGCAAGCTTATGGGATAATTTTAACGCAAATAAAATCTCAAAATGTACATATAATCAATAAAATGAATAACTACCAAAAGAACTCTCCTAGTAAATTTAAATCAAAATACTACTTTTTTTTAATTATATCGATTTGATCATTAAATTCATTGAATTGTATAAATTTTTTTATTGATAAAATCCCTTGTTGGCCGTTAACTTTCACATGATAATTAATTGTGTGATATAAAAATCTAATATGCTAATACAACAATTCAAAGTATTGACATGACAGTTTATATATGAATGATAACGTGATATTTACTATAGTTAAAGATTTTAAGTTAAGGTTTATGATTTATAGATTGTGGAACTAAGATTTAGGATTTAAAATTTAAGGTTTTAAGTTAAGATTAAGTTATAAGATGATGCAATTCAACAACCACTCAATTGATACAAAAATACGATAAGGGCAAAAAATATAAATTCGGACTATTACAAGGATAACAATGACCCTTTTGACTTTTTCTTTTATCATTCCCGGAGTATCATGAGACACTAGATTTTACATTTGTATATGACATGGTAGGGGCTCATAAAGATGTAGACCATATTCTTTACACTTTGAATTAAATAAATGTAGAGAGGCTTCTTCCTTCATCTCTGCTTCCTCCATACCCACATCTCCAGGAGTTTTCCCTTTGGGAAAAAGAATATCATATTGAAATGAAATCGTAATCGGTAAGATGGCATGGCCTGCCAACTTTCTGGCTTGGACCATAACTTCATCCATCTCGTTTACATATGTACATTGCTTGCCTGAAGGAAAACGAAAAACTTCGAAACTTTCCGTTGTAGCTTCAAAATCAACATCATTTGTCATCGTCTTTTAGCTGACTTGTTACTTTAGGTGACATTCCACATAATGAATCAAATCCATCATAAAATAAGACAAATGATCAACACTCCCACGAATCCTGATAGCCCGAAATTCTTGGGGACAACAATAACTGCTTTAGCTGCAAATGCACAACAATCAAAAAAACAATCATTGCAATAAGGCTATCATCTAAAGCACCATTATCAAAATATAGGTAGATGGAAGCTAGATGAATCTTAACAAATATTAGAAAGTTCCATACACCGATGCTAAATTCGCAACCATAGGTAGGATCATTTTTCAAAAACAAATGACATGCAGATCATATAAATATGTGCTTCAGGGAGAATAGTACAAGTCACTTAGCATTGGATGCTTACATGATGGCGATTGCACTGATGGAGGCTGAGCAAGTGGTGCAGAAACTGGGCCTTTTGCACCATCCATACCCTGCTCTGGACAAGATCCGTAAGACACTGAAGGTAATGGTGGTACATCCAGAGACAACTGTGACCTCGGATTCATTGCAGGTGGGTGCCAAGGAATTAGGCTAGAATGAGATCTTGGTGGAACGGCAGGGTGAGTGTATGGAAAAGGGGGTGGAACAGCAATCGAAGGTGCAGGAGAAATCAATGGAGGAAAAGAAGGGTAGGGACTGCTTCTAGGACCTGGTGAATGAAGGGGACTATGACCAGACGGAGAAGTACATTTACACCAAGGTTGGAGATGATGACTCTTGGGTGATGATGCTGGTGACTGTGTCAGTGAAAAAGTTGGATGTGGGGAAATTGACTTCCCGGGCGGTGGAGCTGGTGAAGCAGTGGGAGGGGCAACATGAAGTGTACCCTTGAGATAAGATGACAAGCTAATGCTTTTGACTTTACCAAAGACTGAGTTATTAGGACCAAGATTCTTTGCAGTAGACTGTGATGGTTTAACCCAATTGCTTTAATCTCTGAGGCAGAAGGTTACCAAAATCAGATGACGCCACTGAAGCCTGAACCATGACCAGGGAGGATATTGTGGACCCATTTTGGTTTGTTAGTTGCACAAACAAATTCTGCAATTAACAAATAAAATTAACTATTAGCGAGAAATACCATATATAGGAACAAAAACATCAGGGCATTTGCTCCTCCCTCCAACCCTAACTTCTGTTCCGTTGCAATGAAGAAACTTCAAGTTTTGATCCCTAAAACTGGCGCTAGGATGCAATTACTAATACATGATTTGGCAGTTATATCTATATCCTAGGAGCTAAGCCAGAGCTGGAACTTCGTCAACAACAAAAAATGTCGACAGTTAACACACAACACTAGAGATGCACTGTGTTATATTAACATTCAAGAATTCAATTGATTTGGAATAATTTGGTAGCAAGAAATTTTCCTATTTCCACTTCCAA